CCCCCCCCCCAAACGAGCAATTTCGCGGGAAAATGTGGATCTATCTGTCAAGGACCTCAATTGGTTGAATACTCATCCAATCAGACTCTCTCCTGTGTAGGAGTAACAAAGAAGAAACTCTCTTCTTTTTGTTTGCAACGAACAACGCGCATCACGCAAGAAATTGAAGCCAGAAACCATAATACAAGCACAAAAAGCGAGATGAAAAAGCGAGATAATTTTGGAATTTTGGAATATATGGAGCTTGAATCTTAGTTTTTTGTGGGCAACTGATCCAAACTTCTTTTTATCCGGGGGTTTTGGTCACCCGTACAGGAGAGCGGGAGATTGGCTCTGTATCCGGGAGAGTTGGCATATATACTATTACTCGCCTGAAATATCGAGTAATTACTTACAAAATCGAAGATTATCGATTCGCAGCTTTGGTCCCAGGCTCTCTCTTGCCCCAGCCCCATTGAACGGGTAGTGAGAAGAGCGACCCTGGGAATGGGGTTAGCATTGCCATTTCAAAACTAAAAACGTAATTATTTATTATTCAATAAATAAAAAGTGAAAAAAAGTAAAAATGTGAGGTTCCCTTGGAAACGTATGAATAGGGAACATCTTTATTTTACCTTGGAAGCTGCATTTATACATTGACGTCTACCTGAAGTATCAATTAAAGTTTTTTTTCGATGTTCTTTGTTTCCTTGTCTTAACAGAAGTGAACCAAGACGCTATGGACTTCAAATGAAAGAAGCAACAAATGTCAGAAGGAGCCTTCAAAAAAATACTTGTTATTGTTTTTATTTCCTCAGATGTCAGTTCTAGTTCATTTGTAAAACCTCGTTATTCAAGAATGCTTTGATTAAAATTTTCCTTAACGCTTCATACAATTATTTCAATTTCTTCCTTCTGTAACTTTGGGAACCCTCAAAACCTGCCTGGAGTAGAAACGCATTTAAACTGAGTCCTCTATTGATTCATTTAAAAAAAACTGAAAATAAAAAAGAGCGAATCTAGACACCCCAGCCTTGTTTACACACAATCATTCAAACACACCCATTTGCTGATGAGAGCGCGCGCTATCCCAGTTACTTGAAAATAGAATGATAACATACCACTTGCTAACTTCGTGTTGTCGGTCTTCACTGTAAGTCGCAGTTCAAGTTTTTTCTACCGAGGCTCCGATTTATGGCCCAAACGCAAAGCGTGCGGGCCATAAATCCGATAGGAAAAATGAGGTTTCGTAACTTAACAGTAACGACCGAGAAAATGAGGTTGGTTGGGGAAGATTTCATCTCAAACAAGTCAAACAAACTTTTAAATTTAGCGGGTCGTAAAGTGAGATACAGCCTGCTAAAATTGACCAGTCATGGAACACGTACCAACTGGGAAAACAAAGCTTCAAGCAACAGGCGCCTCTGTTGAAATGAATCGCCCTCGCCAATTTTCTTGCCTGTTACGCTTTAGTATGATAAGTTATTCGAACTGGAAAGGGAGAGAGTGCTTCACACTAGTATAACAATTAGAATATTCCGGAACCTCGTTGGCATCAATGAGAGATATCTCATCGCTGTACACATTCAAAGAGCGGAATCTACTCGACTGCGGTGTTTGTGTAAGTTTCCACGGTGCAGCTGATGCAGCATTTTTTCGCGAGAGGGACGTGTTGAAAATTTATTCATAGTCTCGTTTGGCGACAAAAATTGACACCTACTTTGCTCTTGCTTTTTCTATGGTAAGTTTTGCTTTCGTTACACACTTTGAAGTTACACTTGGGGAAGGCCTGGGCAGAGAAGAGCGAGCCGCGCTAGGGCATGGGGCGAGAGCGAATTCTTTGTTCAAAGAGAAAATGGCGGCAGGTAGTGAGAGCAACTGTTTCTTCTTTTACCTCTTTTTCTTTTCTGTTTTGCGCATCACATCGGCTCTAAGATGCGAGGGTAAGTAGCACATGTTATCTTCTGTCCATTTAATGTCTATTTTGCTGTGAATCCTAAATTCTGTCTGTAGTGCTTTGATTTATTGACAAGTTTGCGCCAGTAATTTACATATGTAACGCATCTTTGCGCGTTTCTGGGGTCACGGTGATCTTCGGATCATGATATTTGACTGCTTGTTCTTTATTACATGGCCAGTTTTTCACATTTGTTTCTCGATCTGATTAAACTTGCCCTGTTACGGTGACTACGGTGGCACGTGCGTAGACAATGATGTAAGCCGGAAGGTGAAGGCGTCATTGGGGATAAACAGCAATTAGATTCTAGATTTCTGTATTCTGTATGACCAGTAGCATAATCGCTATATACATTTGTGTAACACCAGGCCATTTCAGCAAAATTTCCCAACTACCCTCAAAATTCTATTTAATTATTGCATATCAACAGAATAACACATTTTAAAATCATGTTCATATCTATTTGCATTTTTATTTCTGTTTTATTGTGCTTTGTTCTCGCTTGAGAGGCTACGAAGTGTTTGTTGTTGAGAAATCAAATGTAACGCAATGAGACATCATCGTACTTTGGACCTTGTGGTTTCCTCGTTAAAACCGCTGAAATTCATGAAAACACCCCCCCCCCCTGCAAACAACCAGGGGAGGTTACAAAGTCTTCCAGTACGGTTTCAAACAAGAAACGAAAGCAAGATTGCTTAAGGAGGCTCGAAAGGGTTTATCATTGTTGCAGTGTTTGGGAAATGTTGGAAGATTACAAAGAAGGATATCTAATGGGGTGGGCAAACTATATGTCTCCTTGCAACTCTATTGCTGGGCTATACTTTGAGGGTACTTGTGACGTCATATCAGTTACCATGGCAACGCACAAGGTCCACAAAAACGTCCACTAAATTTTAGTTTTTGTAAATTATCTGAAAAACTAATTCGGTGACCTACCATTTTTATTTCTTTGTTGGAAAGTTCCCTAAATTGTTTAACTTTTCAGACAGTATGGAAAAAATTTATCCAGTAGAATTAAATATATTTAAAGAAAATGTGATTTATGGCTTACAGAAAATTCTACTAGATAATTTTTCCCAAAACTTTTATATTTGAAGTGCCATAGTGAATGGTGCGTGCATGCGAAAAAGTCAAGATAGGTCACCAAACAAAATTTCGAGCTAGAAACAAATGTATTTTGCAGATTTTATTTCCGGTTCGTGCAATTTCAAGCAACATTTAACTTCCGGTGTGCTGATTTTGATTCATTCAGCTGACGCGTGCATCTTAGTTGTGGTGCGTGCATCTTAGTTGTGGTGCGTGCATCTAAAAACCCCTTTGAGCCTCCTTAAATTATGGCATGACTTGGTTCATGTTTGATTCCTTTTGCGCGTGTAATTCGATTGCTGTGCTTCGAATTGCACAAGGCAAGACAACCAGAATGTTTCCAAAACAAGTTATACTCATTTGTGCAATGTCTGATACCCAGAACTCTGAGTTTTTTTGGCAAAATAGTAGCATTGGTGAATGAACTTTCGTGTTACAATGTTTGAGTTGTCAAGATTCAGCAGCAGCCAAGATATGAGTTGAAATGTATGTGTGAATCGCTGAATTTCAATTCATTGTTCTGCATAATAAATGTGTTTCCAAAATAATAAACTGCCTATTACTCAGCTGCTTTTGAGCTTTAATGGCATATTATTCGACAATTTGGTACTGACGATGATGTACTTTTCTTTGAACTAGCTAATCTCTTAACTAGACTTTCGTTTATATTTACAAATTCGCTTAGTTTTATTTTGTGGTACTTAAACGGAGGAGTGCGTACATAATCCCACGACACAAACCCAGCCATGAAATTTTTGCCTTGCTCCCTCAAAAATCAACAGTTTAGACTGAAATTTCGGCAATAACAAGGTAAAACAAATACCTTCAAGTGGGTATGATTTTACTTATTCAATGGAATATTGCTATAAACATATTTTACTTTTTCTAGCAATGTATGCAAATGAGATGTTACACACTACATGCATATTTGAGGGAAATTTGCCTTATTTTTTGGGAATACCTCACTTTTAATTTGTAGGAATTTCTTTTTTTCAGGTGATGTCTAATAATTAAACATCTTTACATCTAACTGCGAAATTATATTGTAATCCATTCAATATTTTAGTGCAGAGTAGAAATTTTACTTGAGTGACCTTAAATGTACATGGTGATTGTGCTACAGGTCTATATGATTTCTGTGAAGCACAATGTTTGATTGTATTTCAGGCCAGCACATTGTTGAAGTTTCTGAGGGGTGGAATGACTGATAAGTATGGTTAGGTTCCAATCGAATTCAAACTCACACTGTTCAAATCAGTGATAAATTAATTTACCACTGCACCACAAAATTTCTAAGATAACCCTGTAAGCTGCTTCACCTTAACTGCAATGTTGAAGACTCACAAGCTTTAATGGTCAAAGAAAATCATTTGCCTTTGCCTTTATGTTCAGTCATTAGCTACCATGCTATTTTACTTTTTTACTTGTCTAGCACTGATGAATTGAATTGTACTTTTTCAACAGATATCTCAGTTCAAAATCTCTCAAGAGACTGGCATTTTTTACTGGGACCAAAGGATTCCATCATTGCGGTGTGTGTGCATGGTGGGGAGCTTAGGTTGTCTCGCCTTTGGGCAAGTGTTAAAGTCATGCTCAAATTTGAAAAAACAGAGGTGCAGTTCTATGAGGCTGAAAGGTGAATTCAGATTTTGTGAACATCATTTGGTTGAATGTTACATGTTTATATACTTGGCCTATTTTATTGTGTTTTGGTATGACTATATATGATAAAAGTACTTGAAGTACAGAAAAAAATGAATCTGAAACAAAACCAAAATTGAACCACAACATGCAAAAAAATTATGAAGGGGGTAAGTATCTAAAGAAACTGTGCTTCTGCGCTGGAAGAGGGGGTATAACACAATAATTTGGTCTTATGAACAGTGCTGATAATGTAAATTGGCCATTGTAAACAGTTTCTAAACCTGAAGCTTTTTGTGTTAGCCCTCTGTCAGAACAAAGGGCCAATGCCTGAAACATCAGCCTAAAATGTCAACTTGAAACACTAGGCTTGGAAACTCTTTATGGTGGCCAATTTACATCATCAACTCAGTTAACAATATCAAAATAAAAAAATATACTTGTTTATGGACAAGGTATAAGGATGACGTAGCTGTGAGAGCACACTTGCCTTCTATCATAGTGGCCTTTGTTTGGCATCACATGTGAATTTGGTTTCTCTCTCTATTTTTTTCTTTTTGCTGGAATATTTTCGTTTTGGTTTTTCTGCATTGCAAAGACCACTCCAAGTTTTATTTCAGCCTCCAAAAGGCCTCTACACCATGGGTAAATTTGTGTATTGTCAGATAGAAGTTTCTTGAATAAGTTAGTTTTTGTTTTGTTTTCCAATTTGTTTTTTTAAGATATCTGCAAGTCTTGAGGCATATTCTCAATGTTGCTCCTTCCTTAAAGTTATTTTTATAAATTGTTCAATACAGGGAGTGAATATTGATTGCCTGTGTAAAACTCACCAGGTTTCAGGTCTGTTAGCCAATGGAAATGATTTTGATTATAAATAACTAAATTTCTATTCATTCATACCTAGTTTAATTTGTTTCTCAGCTGCTCAGCCTTAAATCCAGCAAATAAGTCCTGGGCATCAGTGTTTCAGTCATTTGTCACTTCGAGGAATGTTTTGGATCAAATCATGTTCAGTTACTCGCCATTTAAGACGTCATGCTTTGCAGTTGATTTAATTAAAGAGAGGCAAACTGTGAGAGTGGAGGCTTCACTTCGAGGTTGATTGAAATAAATTATCATTTTTTATTATCTTCTGTATCTCAGTAGTCTCTGATCAGATTACTTAGCCATTAGAATCCTGGTATTGATTCACATGCAGCTTCTCCTTACCATTCCAATATGCTATCTTGCTGAACTCTGCATTAACTCAGCATCCAGACACCTCGTCAAACTTTAAATCTTAATTTTTGAATGTAATTCTTGGTTTGAGTATTAAGAAATGAGGTTTAGAACTGATAACATATTTCAAAATCTATGTATCTTATTAGACATTTTGGTGTATAGTATTGCTGAGTATTTTAACAAGTTGTACAGCATTTTGAGTGGCCCTCAAGGGCAAGTAAAAAATACTAAAAAAGAGTAATGTTTTGTATGTATTATCCAACTGGTTTATTTGATATGAATTTCTTATGAGGGAGTAAGGGGGGGGGACTGCAAAGCAGATAGAAAAGTGTAGCACATGCAGGTGACATACTTCATACTATCCCACACTTCATTCTGTGAAATTGATACCTGTATGCAAATGGTTTTTGTTCTTTCAGCTATTGACTGGTATTTCCCAGTAACTTTCCTGGCAGGGCTTGTGATATTTTACAACGCAGAAAGACTTAGTAGGTATATTAATCCTCAAAACCCTTACAATTTGCAGTGATAGAGCAATTTTCTTGCAGAGTAAACTTAATGTCAAATTCTTTGGGAGACCTAACTGATGTGCATGTTACTACAGTAACTGTTGTTTTGTCAAGAAATATATATCGATAAACATATTGCTATTGGCATTATAGTCATGTATATGTTTTGGTTTTATCTTCACCAGGAATGCTTTGTTTTTTTACTCGTCGGGAGTGTCACTTGGCGTCATTGCTTCCCTGTTGATTTTGGTTTATATTCTGCACAGACTTGTCCCAGGGGTAGGAACCTAGTAGTCATAACCTACAGTGAAGCCAACATTATTATAAAGAGTGTGATAGTTCCCTTCTCCAGGGGCTTTTTAATGTTCAGGGCTTCCTGGAAGGGTCCCTTCAATAAAAACCTCTGATAGTCATTGAGAATCAACATGTGAATCACAAGTTTCCTTCTGAACTAGTGCCCAGCTTTTACTAATAACGTATGCTTTTAGCTGGCTGAAAACCTGAAAGCTTGTGATATTTTTTATCACAGTGGTGAACAAACATAAAACACATGCCAATCGATAGTATAGCATAACCATAACCAGTATCATCTTTTAATCAAACTTTTGGGTCACTCGCATTTTCCTGCCCTTCAAACTGTTTGCTTATTTTTACTTCATCTTCCTGTAATCTTTTTACTTTCCTGTGATTGGCTCTTGTGATTACTCTGGTGTTGGTTTTACGACACTCAATTGAAATGAGCTCTGAATAACTTAATTGATAGTTAAATGAATAAGGGGGTAAGTTTCTAAGGAAACTGTGGTGCTGCGTCAGTGAGAGAGTATAACAGGGTAATTTAGTATTATCAACTGAGTTGATAATGTAAACTGGCCACCTAAGGAGTTTAAAAGCTGATGTTTTAATCACTCTGACGAAGGGCTAACGCTCAGAACTTCAGGTTTTAAATTCTTTACAGTGGTGAATTTACATTATCAACTCAGTTGACAATACTAAATTACCCTTAAACCCTTTAACTCCTAGGAGTGATTGGCATCAAATTTCTCCTTACCATATCACCCCTGAATCAAACATTTAGGTTAGGAGAATAAAGGAATTGATCACCAACTGTAGAAGCTCTTGATTGTAAGACAAATTCCCCTTTTCAGCACCAAAGGAAATGTTTAGAGAACAGTATGGAGAATATGCATACTGATCTTAGGATGTAGAGGGTCAATGATAATTAGCCTTTAAAGTGGGAGTAACAGGACGGAATCCCGAAAGTCAGACTTCACTCAGTGTACTGTTTGTGGTTTTGTCAT